TCCGTTGATGGAGAGCAGATCTGTGAGAGACACATACTGAGAGAATGGGCCAAAGTTCTTCTGCAGCCACTCAACACTGCTGTTAGCAGTCAACACACAGCCCGCATCTGACACACACAACAGAAACAGTGAAATCACCTTCATGAACTCCAGAACCTTCATATGAAACATCTGTGAACCTCCACCTCACCTGTTGTGTTTCTTCTGAGGAAGGGCAGGATGAAGAAGTTCACCATGTTTCTTCCTTGAGACTCATTGACGAGTGTGACCTCTGACAGACTGAGAAATGGTTGAAAATAATGTTGAACAAGCATCTTATCAGCTCATGACAGTCTTTAGCTATTGTTGAGGACATCTTTTCTTACATGTGCTGGTAAGTTTGGCAGCTGAGGTTTTTGCTGCTAGTGCACTGCAGTAGGGATGATGACGCAAACGGTAAAAACGGCTTCAGATATTGACCCAACAACATGCTGATGAAAGGGAGGTCTCTCCATTGTTCAGGACTGATGCGCTCTTGTCTCAGCTCTCCAATCACATCCAGCACTTGGGACACGACATCACCTCTGATTGGCTGAGACTGATGATGTAATGAGGAGGAATTACTGTCAGATTCCCAGTCAATCTAACACTGAACACTAGAGGACAGATGTACAAGACTCATTTACCATATTTGCTGCTGCGCTGGAGAAGATGACGAGGGCTCCGTCCAGAACATCATTTGCTTTGGTGAAAAGCAGTTTCCAGATCTCCTTGGAGTAACTGCTGCTGCTGGATAGTTGACACTTCAGGAGTCCAGGGAGTCCAGCAGCAGTGAAGCCTGTGATCTACAAACACAGAAGATTTCATCAGTGGACATCAACGTTCAGAACGTTCAGGGCTGATTCCAGAAACTGCTACACATTTGGAGGGACACAGATTCCCAGACGATCGTCAACATCAGCTCATGTGAACTGAGTTTTCTGTTCATGGTCTTCTTACCGAAGAGCAAGCGTACTGCTGCAGGTCCACACTACAGGGGGCGCTCACGAGTCCAGCGGACAGGAGAGTCTCGTTACTGTGGTGCAGATAAACTCTTCTCATTATTTTTATTTACTTTGAATTGTATTTTTACTCAGTAAATATTCCAAAAAAGAACAGTACCTGCTGATTCCATTACAAATAGAGGATTCTGTAAAAGTAAATTAAAAGGAAAATAAGAAAAACAGACAGCACATTTTTGTTTATGGTACTTTACAGCTTAAACAATATTAAACTTACCATTGATTGATGTTGAAATACACTGCAAAGTACATGACCATAAATCAATAATAGATTATGAAGTACTTTTCTTTTATGTTTATGAAAATATCAACCCATGAGATTAAAACTTGTGTTTCTTACCGTAACAGGTGGAGGAAAACAGCCTGTTAAAGACACAATAGTAAAATCTCAGAGTTACAGCATAGAAAAATGTGTCAATCAAAACTGTAGCTTAGAGACTAAATTTGCTGACTAAGAAAATATTTAGTTAATCTGCCATAGTTTTAACTTGTTTTGTTTGTGTGAATGTATCTGTACCAGGAGGTGCCATCTGTTCCAGCTGACTCATGTAGTCCTTGATGTGTTGCATCATGTGTGGAGGAACCACAGATTCCTGCAGCCTCTGAACCCTGAAAGAGAGAGAAATCATGTGAAACTGGGCCTCGACCGAAGCAGTGCAGAAATAGTAAAAGAAATAGTGTAATATAAAAAGTTTTACTTACATCTGCTGGTATGACGAGCACTCCAAACCCATCTGACATAAAAAACAAAATAAGGGAAAAAAAATCACCTTACTCCAAAGCAATTATACGTGCTGCCATATGTCCACAGACAGACAGTCTTTGGCATAGATGCTCTTACCTGGCCAGCGAGCATGATGAGATATCCAAGCATCTCAACTAGACCACGGTCTTCAGGAGAAACCAGGATATGATCAAAAACTATGTTTATGATGATACTTTTCTCTGGCAGACCTGCAAAATCCTCAACTATGAGTTCAGCTGTCTGTCTGGGGGAGAGAACCACCAGTGCATCTATCTGAAATACACAAAGAAACATTCCATTTAACAGACAAACAGAAATCTAATTATCAATCACATTAAACAGAGAATAGAGCTGAATCTTTGTTTTAGAAACAGAATAAAACAAGCTGAAATGCAGCAGATGTTCTTGTCAGTGGGAATGTGGGTAACTCACAGCGCTGAAGTCTTGGTTCAGCTGGTACATTTCCCTCAATGTTGCAAACTTTGAAAATCCACCAAGATTCAGAGTAACCCAGATGCTGCTGTTCTCCGCAGGGCAGCCACCTGAAAACATGTTGATAAAATATATTTATAGATTGATGGATGGATGGATGAATGTATGGATGGATAAACAGATAGATGGATAGATGTACCTGAAACATTTTGTCGGCTCAGGAAGGATCTGATGAAATACTGATAAACATCCTGCACACCTTGTTCTGACATCAGGAGCATGTTGTCGCTGAGTTCTGAAACACTGAAAGGACAACATGTAGGTCAGGTGAGAGTGGAGGTCAGCTGAGAACAGGGTTCATCAGGTGGGATTAGCACTTATGCGTTCAGTTGGCATACAGTATCTGGAAGGTCTGGCAGCTGAACTCTTTGTGACTGAGGCACGTGAGATATTCTGGAGTCAGTGTGGAGAGAAGAGGCTTTAACTTGATCTGGAACCATAATCTCACAAACGACTCATCCTGCAAGTTGCTCATCGTGAAGGTGTCATGAACCATTTGGTCCAGGATGTCACTGAAGGGGGAACTCTGGGAACTGAAGTTCTGGGCAAGAAACAACATGCAAACAGGAATTATATCAAATACTGGTTTCTACACAACTGATGTGAGATCTGGCAGTTCTTACAGTCATGGAGAGCTGCTGCAGCAGAGCGTTGAGGTTCTGGGAGAGATGCAGGAGGACATTCGAGAGCGTCTCCTCATTGAGCGTGAGGTTTGAGCGTGCTGCGCAGTGCAGGACAGTGGCCACATGTTCCACCAGGTCCGTCAGCTAGAAAGACATAAACACTGTGTGAGATATGATATGAAATCCTAATGCCATGCCAGCAGAGAAGATGCTTGGAATAATGTGTATGTATGTTCCCAGCCTGCGTTTAGCTTACCCCACACGTTCTATTATCAATAAAGACACTGCAGATGTCCTGACTTTCATTCTGGGCTCCAGTTCCCATTCCCGTCTCAATGTAGCTAAAGAGTAAACACCCCAAACCACATCAGAGCATTCTCAGTACTCCATCAGAGGAAGTTTCTGGATAACTATGACATTACTAGCGCAGCAAACTCACAACTGGTTATGGAAGACAGCCGTGAGGTTTGGGTGGATTTCTATCTGGCCGGGAGGAAGAAATCGCCGGAGTATGGGAGAAACCACATGCGTGAACCAGTCGTTAATGTTCACGGGGTCAAACGTGACCAGCTGCTGGCTGGAATTCTGCTTGAACGGAGTGGCGAGCTCGGCGAGTGTCAGGTTGATCATGGCCTGCACCAGTGTGGTGCTCCGCATGCTGCTCAAGTTTTGCTTAAGGAAGAGAGCAAATACAGACAGCAGAAATTAGGAGATGGGGTTTGGGGTTGTAATGCCTTACTGAATGTGTGTTTGTGCTGTTACCGGCTTCGTCAAGGACACAAACTGTCTAACAAAACTCCCGACAGGACTAAATGCCGTCATTAATCCATTCAGTGCCTGAAACCACACATCAGATCAGTTTATCATTCAATATCACAGTCTCTTAAACATCTACTTATTTACTCATCTACATCAGGGCTGGGCAACCATGGCCCTCAAGATACACCTTCTTGCAGAGTTCAGCTTCACCAATAATCAAACAAAACCATCTATAACTTTCTAGTAATCCTGGAGATCTTGGATAGTTTGTTCCAGTAGGTTTGATTAAGGTTGGAGCTGAAATCTGCAGGAAAGTGGTTCTTGAGATCAAAAGTTGCCCAGCTATGATTTACATCCATGATACTGTGACTGGTATGATTCTTGCCTGTCCAAGAGGGTCCTGAGGTGAGGCAGATGGAACGGTGCTCATATAATACGCTGTGCCATTGTTGGAAGGCCATGGATCCTCAGAGGGCAACAGAGAGGAAAGCAAACTCTGAAACACCAGGCCGAGGGAGCTGTTCGTCAAGCCCACCACCTCGGGATGAAGGAGAAGCTCTGCCTTCTGTTCTGGACTCAAGAGGTGCAAAACCTCCAGCTGCCAAGACAGGGAAGAACCTCAGAAAATCTCCAGGACATCAGCACAGAGCTGAGGTTGCCATCGAATGACCATCAGGATAACATCAGATGCGAGAGTGAGTATTCCTACCCCGCTGAAGAGCATGTTGATGGATGTGAAGTCTCGCACTTGAGCCATGACCGAGAACGAGCCGAAGTTCTTCATGAGCCAGTCCTCAGTGCTGTCCTCTGGATCTACACAACCTACAACAACACACAATCAGACTACACAAACCTGCACAAAACCCTCACAGAACACAAAACGCCAGTGCAAGAGGTGAAGTGTTACCTGAGGATGTGTTTCTAGAGAGAAACGGGTACATGAAGAAAGCATAGATCCACTTCTGTCGCACTGGATCCAGACCGGAGAAATGCTGACTCAACTCCTTCACACTATACACACAACAAAGCACACACAGTCAAACACACACATACACAATGAGGTCCTCATTCATATTCTGCTTTTAGTGTGTGTTGTCATACACAGTCTGGTAGGCGCTGCAGCTGAAGTTTCTGTTGCTGAGGCATGTGAGGAAGTTTCTGGAGATGGACGACAGCAGAGGAGTGAGTTTGATGTCCAGCCACGCTCTGATCACGTGATCCTCGTTCATACTGACGCCTCCCGACAGATCCACGACCGGCACGCCGGCCACACTGGAGCGCTGCGAGACAGACAGCGTCACGGCGGAGCCCGCAGCAGTGAAGGCTCATGGGATATGTGTGTGTCTGTGTGAGTGCTGGTGTACCATGAAGGAGTAGATGTCCAGAGTGGCGCTGATGAGTCCCTTCAGGTGAAGGATGTGGTCTGCATCAGGCTCTGATGGGACACCTGCACACGTCAGGAAGCTCCGCGTGGGACCGTCCAACTGAGACACCAATAAATACAGCACAGATTGAGAATGAGAGTTTACGGCATTAAATGTGGGTTCGAGTCCCATTCGAGGGAAGTCTGTTCACTCTGCGACCATACTTGCAATGCCTCCGGGCATCTATATCAGACACCAAGTCCTTTTTAACTTGAATGGAGAAATCCTGAAATCTCAAAAACTGCTTGCCACAGTTATGTTTAACTTATTAACATAATTAACAACTTGACATATTTCAAACCAGCAACAAATACTCAAACAGCATTAAAAAAGCTTATATTTCAGGCTGGAGTTTGTGTTCCTTGCCACTGTCACCTCTGGCTTTTAAAAGATACTTAATATTTAGTCATGTTATTGATTTAACTGCACTGACACTATCAGATGAGAACAGAACTGAATTGATCTGAATAAAGACACCATTCCATTTTGTAGAGCTGCTTTTTATTATATAAAGTGCTATATAAATAAATGTGACTTGACTTGATTTTGGATTTTGCCTCTATACTACTGTTCAGAGTTCAACAGAATCCATAATTCCCATGCTTTGTATGTTATCTGAACTGCAGGAGCTGCTCTAGAAGTGTGTAAGTAACATGCTCCATAGGCTTTCTCTAGTGACTGATGGCAGTGGAGGGGTTTCATTGTGTTTATGATCTTGTTTTTGTATAGGCAACTTTTATTTAGAAAGAGTGGTCATGTTCCCTTTGGTTTCACGTTTCTGTCTGGATGATTGTTGTCTAATCAGCCTGTTTGCGTCTGTCTCCAGTGTTGTTCTGCTATTGTCTTGTTAATGGTTTTGGTTAGTCATTGTATCACCTCTGAGAACTCTGTCATTTTATTCATTTTAATGCTAAAAAAGACATTAGATTTCTTTATATCACATCGCTCATCTTGCATTATTGTTTAGTTCATATTGAGTGCGTGTGTTTACCTCTGCTGTCCCAAACAGACAAAACTCTCCAACAAAGAACAATCTAAAAATATCTTGTGTGTGTGTGTGTGTGTGTGTGTGTGAGAGAGAAAGAGAACTCACATCAGTGCATTGTTCTGCTGTAAGTTCAGCACTCGTTCCACAGGTTTGACTGTAAATCATGAAATGAGACGAGATTAATGTGGGCAGAGGGAGGAGATGGAGCAGAATGGAAAGTGAGCGATAGGTCATGGTGAATGAAAGTCAGTAATGTTAAGTCATTTCACAACAACAACATAAAACAGAAGAAAGACTGCATTCTGGATGGGTCCTTTTGTCTCAAAAGTTTCTATAGGTTACATAATGGAAAGATCTGAAGTGTTTCACCCACCTCTGCACCGCTGAACACACGATGCCTGAAAACAGAGAGAGACAGAGAGTCATATCTTACATCTGTCATAATGTACACTTAGCTGGACATTATGGCAAAATAAACTCAGACAGAGTGCCTGCATTTAATCTGTGTATCTGTGCATTTAATCACATATATTAATCAGAGTCTGTATGATTTAATTCTGTGAGAAGGACAGTCAGACATGAAACTAGCACAGCTATGGAGGAAAACACTTGAGCAAGAAAATTATAAACGCCATTATTGACAAGTATTTGAAAGACACCACTGACCAATCAGGTACTCCAAAGCATGAAATAAGAGTGTTTAAATATAATAACCATCCTGTACATTTTCTCAGACACTCATAACATGGACATAAAGCACCTGTTTGTTGATTAGTGTGCTGTTTTTCATTAATGAGTTTAAATATAAATGATAATTGTGGACTCACCAAAACCCACCGCTCCCACATACAGGAGCAGGAAAATTAGAGGTGTTCTCATGAGGACTGATCTGCTTCCCTTAGACGCTCCTGTGAAATTCAGCTCTTAGAGAAACAGACACAACGCCAGGTCAATGGAATGCTTATTTCTCAGATGATTGTTAAATTTAATGACTGAGAACAGGAGTTTCATTAGTCTCAAGCTTTCAGCTTGTTATGCCATACAGTACAAGAAAGATTTTACAGCTGCTTGAAGAAGGGATAAAAAACAACCCTGAACTGACACACACACACACACACACACACACACATGCTTGAATACTTTTTATATTTTGAAAGTATTTAAAAATATATATATATATATATATATATCAATATTTCAGTAAGTTTCTTCTGCTCACCAAGGCTACATTTCTTTGTTTAAAAATACAGTTAAAAAAAAAATAAAAAATTGTCAACATTGATAATAATCAGAAATGATAAAAATCAGCAAATCAGCATATTATAATGATTTCTGAAGATCATGTGACACTGAAGACTGGAGTAATGATGCTGAAAATTCAGCATAATATAATATAATATAATATAAAGCACGGGAACTCAAAGCACATTTGTATGATCGTAGTTCAGCTGTTAATATGAATTAAGCCAGAAGTCAAAGGCCGCTTGAATGTGTCAGGTCTTATCTGTGGGCAGTGTGGCGTCATGTGTTGGATTACAAACACAGAACAGCAGCACATTCACACACACATCTCTGTCATTCCACACTGAACACAACAGAGCCACAGCTGGTTAAACCGGGCGAGTGAGGAGATCACCGAAGAGGTTTAACAACACACTCCTGAGTCACATTCACTCACTCTTTAAGACAAATGTCATCCCATAAAACAGAACAATCAAACACAAAAATGATGGCATTCCGCCTCTCATATGCTCATGATTGACTTATGAAACATGAAGTGCAAATAAGTGTCTGTGTGTATTGGGAAGGAAGGAAATCATGAAGATGATATGAAATAAAAAATTATATAGGCCTACTATATTATATAGGCCTACTATATCCTATATTTCTTTTTTAAGCCATTCCTACAACTATATCAGTCTCAAAAACTGACTAGTACACAAAGTAAGTTAATTAAGTAATAATAGATTTGATTTGATTTGATGGAAATACGTGATTTTATTAAAAAACTTCAGATGCTGGAAAAATATTGTACCACATTTTTAACGTGGTATTATAAACTGTAAAAACACTATCAGCCAACCAGATGATTATGTGGATAAATCACATCCATATATTCTGGGATATAAACTATGTGACTGAATTGAGAGTGACATGAACACAAAAGGATTTTCAGCAATGTACTTTAGCAACATGAAACGATATCTAGAAATCACTTCTGAGACGTCTTGGTCACGTCTCAATTCTCCGGATACAAGATCTAAATCACGATCGGCTCATGATGGAAAAATCTGCTAATGTTTGACTTAATCTTTCCAAGGCTAAACTCGCACATGATTTTCAACCAAAATCTGTGAACATCATACAAAAAATATCAAATCATATGAAACGTTGGTAACACTAGTTACACTACTTTAGTAAAGTACTTTAAATCACATGAACTCACATTAAAAAATACTTAAATCAGTTAATGCTAATCACTGTCAATGTTAATTTCAATATTTACTAATACATTTATAAAATCAAAGGTTGCATCTTAATGTTGTTTAATGGACCCGAGCTAACAAGAACTAACGAGTAGCTGTGTTTTTATTAACTAATGTTAACAAAGATGAATACATTCTGTAAGAAATGAATTGCTCATTGAATGCATAAACTTAATGTTTGTGGTCATTAAGCTCATCTCATAACGAATCTCATAACTTTACATCACTCTCATCTAAGACATCAGATCTGATTTGATTTAAAAAATAGAGATCAGGGTAACACTTTATAATAACTTTCATTAATAAATCATTAACAAAAAATATATAATGCTTGATGGATCATTAGTTAATATATATTCAAAGAGTTAAAAACGTGAAATAATGTGCTTGTTAATGTTTGCTAATAAACTTATTAAACATTAGATAATGTTCAAACAAATCATTATTTCATGTTAAAGTTAAAATGCTTAGAAATGTCACTAAACCTTCAATTCCATATGATCAAGCACTTATTGAAAATCTGCAAATGATTTTAAATGATGAAAAGCTTGTGTTAATGCACAACACTTTAGCTGCTGGTGAGGTGTGATACGGGTAAGTTTAGGGACTGGTTTGGGTAGGTTTGGGTAGGTTTAAGGGTTGATTAAGGGGTTAACCATGTACAGGGGTCAATTTGATTACTATAAGAACACGGTTCAATCCGTTTATATTATATGTTTTATAAATGAACAAGCATTTTCTTTTAAAAAATGATTTATTTTCTCCTGTTTATTTATAATTGAAGGAATATCTGAACAGTATTATTACACTGAAGAGTATTATAGTAATGTGAGTGTTGAGGCAATAAAAACATTTTTTTTGCAACAGTAGCTAAAAGTCCATGCCCGTAAAGATCCTGAATGATTAGTGATTGTTTATAAACATTTACAAATGATGAAAAGTTTCAACTTTAGATTGGCTACTGCAAAAACATGAACAAATGATTAATAAACGATTAGTAAAGATGTGTGAATAGGGTAATTTCGGGTCTTTCAGGACACTTTTTGCCATCGAGATGACTGCTCATAAAGGTATTAATGATTAGTAAACATTCATAAACATTTGCAAATGATGAAGAGTTTCCACTTTAGATTGGGTACTGCAAAAAACATGAACAAATAATGAATAGGTTATTTGTTAAGCTGTGTAAATAGAGGTCTATACACAACAAACAAAGACCGACAAATGAAGATCATATGAACTGAACGTTTTCTGGTAAAACATCAGCCTTAGTGCGGTAAACCTCAGAACACTCTTTACATAAAGAGAAATCACTGAGCTTACCTGTCAGGTGTGTTTGTCATGAAGAAGTGAACGGAGTAAATCTGTGCTGTATACTGCCATTCACTGGACTCCACCCACAGCACAGAGAACCAGACGATCAGCAGCTCACATATAAAGACAGCACGAGCTACAGTTACCTGGGCATCGGGAGGCTTCGGTCTGGATCTCAAAAGCCTCCGAGGGCTTTTTATGCAATAAAGTCACGATGTGCTCAATTAAATGTAGCCATTAAAACTTGGATTAAATTATACAACTCCATAATAAAACCAATACTTTTATATGGATGTGAAATTTGGGGGACCAGTACTACATTTTAAAAATTGGGATCAAACTTCAATAGAAAAACTACAACTAGAAATCGTCAAAAACATTTTAGGGGTCCACAGAAGCATGTCCAATAATGCCTGCAGAGCTGAATTTGCCTTCTACCCACTGAAGACTGAGATCCAGCAGAGATGTGTTCAGTTCCATCAGTCTGATATAATCCTCGAAACACGCTCGTTCTTCAACAGGTCCATCAAACCCAGCTCCTCACTGACTACAGCTGCAGCCCCACAGACATTAATAAAGAATCTGAAAAACACACTTTGACCTCCAAAATAAACTCTAATGTTACTAAACCCTAAACAGAACCACTACATTTAAAGAAAGACACATCCTCTCCAAACACAGATGAAGTAAGCATAATTTAGAAATAGAGAGAGGAAGACAGAGACACACATGGACCGAGCAAGAGCAGAGGATCTGCAGACACTGTGATCTGATTTGTGCTAAATATCTCAAGGTGAGGGGAACATTTCTCCCCAGATTTGAAGCCCTGATCCCATCGTTTACTGAGAAAATGCCCTTCTCACTTGGAGAAGATGACAACACAGCTGCACTATAGCTGCAAAATATGTATTAACCATTCACAATGTTAGGTGTTAAATATGATTAACTCTGAACTAACTCACTTTATCTTTTCATCTATTTAGATGGATTTTATTTATTATCTACAGTATGTTGTTGTTTTTTATTATAGTTTATTTTTATTATTTATATATATATATATATATATATGCTAATGCTTTGGCAACATTGTGTTACACAGTCATGCTAATAAAACTTAACTGAATTGAGAGAGAGAGAGAGACAGAGAGAGAGAGAGAGAGAGATTGAAATCACCTTTATTTACAACACATAGGTAATACCATACTGTGTTACTGCTGAAATCCACATTTCACAATCTTCAGTCTCAATTACAAAGGATCAATTAATAATAATAAATAATAATAATAACAACAACAATAAAAATAACAAAAATACAAAAACCAACAACAGAAAAAATAACAAAATAACTTAGAAAGCCAACAGCAAATCATCATTTTCATTGACAACACATAACACTCCAAGTATTCACTAACACTGGCTAGTATAGCAACACTAAGCGAACGGTCAGGGAGGTTCGCAGGGAACGCCAGATCTAAAAAGTAAACTACAGCAATAAACATCAATACCAGAAGTGAGGAAACAGGGCAAAGCACAGGGCTTAACAGGTGAGGGCATACAGGTGCATCTCAATAAATTAGAATGTCGTGGAAAAGTTCATTTATTTCAGTAATTCAACTCAAATTGTAAAACTCGTGTATTAAATAAATTCAATGCACACAGACTGAAGTAGTTTAAGTCTTTGGTTCTTTTAATTGTGATGATTTTGGCTCACATTTAACAAAAACCCACCAACAAATTAGAATACTTCATAAGACCAATAAAATTCGTGAATTAACAAGAGAACAATAATTAACAACAGAACAAGTAGCACCTCTGAGTCACAAAAGAAAATGGAATTGGAATTGAAGGAATTGAAGGAATTGAGAAACAGCAAGGCAGAATATGTGATAGGACGTCCTGAAATGAGGAAGTATTTCACTAAATCCTGCGTCTTATTTATTAACCACTCGCAGGCCAGTTTAACCAGCTACAGAAAGCCATGGAATGAAGCCGATGCTCTCAGCCCCTCGATGTTCTGTGAAACACACTCGTTTGCATTGCAGCTTCACTCAAAAGTCTGCTGTAGAGACTCTATCACTGTCTGCACTGCTGGAGATATTTGTGAACGTTTCTCTGTCTTTGAGTTAAATAGAAAAGACTCAAGTATTTACCTACTCAAACAGGGCATCGATTACACAAGTGATAAAGAAAGAAACTCATTCTATTGTAGCATCTGTCAGTGCGTTTTCTGCCTCAGGACAAACACAAAGATGCAGCTGATTTACATACAACACCGCAATCTGAAGAATGCAATGCTAATGCTGCGGTGTTGATTCAACTCATTGTAAGGGTCCTCTCATTTGTTCAATATTTTAAAAATAACCTATTGTCAGCGAGTATATTAATTGACCACCAACTATGTACACATATGGTTTGTATATGTGTATGCTTTTAATTCACATATGTATTGAAATTTAAGGTTAACCTGCTCAAGAAAATTGGTCTGGTTTCCCAGACAAAGCCTGCCATTGAAATGATGAGCCAAAATCTCATCTCTCTTTCTCTCTGTCTGTCACCGGAGAAGACACAGCTTCAGCTGAATTTCATTTGACTGCTATTTCCCTTGATATTTCTGCATGTGGCAGAATCTTTCATCTCAAGCGTGTTATGTTGCATTCAGCGTGTGTACTTCAATTCATAGCTTTAGGCCAGTACTCGAGTTATTTTCTCACAGTGTTTCCTGATTGGTGTGGGTCAACAGTGTTCTGGCATGCAATCTCAGGTTTTACCAAAGTGAAATATGATTTCAGGAATTTGGCCCGCATTTCACCTCATATTTACATGTCAGTCATGGTTGATAAAATAAGCTAGTGAGAGTTCTTGAGGATCTTACTTTATGGACTGCAGAAGAAAAAGAGGAAGATGCTGCAGACGCTCAGGAGGAATCACACAGACGACCTGGAAGGCAAAATCAGAACGAGAAGAGGAGTGACTGAAACAGAGATGACGATCCAAAAATAAATGCCTGTACTGAGATATAATCTATATTTCATTATGCTGAATGGTTAGCCCAGATCAGCCAGTGGTGAAGCACACCGCTCAATGACTGAGCTACTGTGGGAGTCTTCTTTGACCGAGCTGAGCTCACACACGGAGAACTAGGAGGACTTGTGTGGACTGAAACACCTGGGCACCACTGATTTAAGGTGATGTCAAATAAATGTAATACTGACTTATTTTTCTTTCTCTTTATTTCTTTCTGTACTGGATTATTACTGTACATTAATCCACCTAAGAAGATGTCCCAACTTCAAATGGATGATTTGACCAACTTCACCGGCCGAACACACTTTGTTACTGAATAGTCCATGTACGTGCTTTAACACACATTTCTTCATTATAATCTACTACAGACACTCATCAACAGTTGACCCATTAATACTAGCACTTTCTATTCTATCTCTATTCTATTTTTCTATTTATTTAAAAACACAGTGTTAGACTAACTGGGCTTGTCACAGTAGTGTTGGTTTAAGTGTAATGTAAGTGTGCTCTGATATGAGCATGAACATGTGGCGCTCTCTTCTGATTCTACAGAAGCACTACAGCAGGAAGAGCTGAAGCAGAATCATGCATTATGCCTTAGTTTCTTTAGAGAAAGCACCACACACAGGCACGCATTTTCTTAGAAATCCTAACAGAAACATTTCTGTAATTTGTGTATATATATATATATATATATATGTATATATATATATATATATAGTGCCTTTCGAAAGTATTCATACCTCTTCATTTTTTTCACGTTTTGTTATGTTGCTGCCTTATGGTAGCTGAAGCACCTTAACAGCCTCCAGTGTTTTTGGGTATGATGCGACAAGCTTTGCACATCAGCATTTGGAAATTATCTGTCATTCTTCACCTCACCTGTTCACCTCTCAAGCTCTGTTAGGTTGGAGGGGGGCAGACGCACATCTCAAGCTCAGGCTCTGGCTGGGCCACTCAAGGACATTCACACAGTTGTCTATAAGCCACTCTTGCTGTGTGCTTAGGGTCATTGTCCTGTTGGAAGCTGAACCTTCTGCCCAGTCTGAGGTTCTTAATGCTCTGGACTGGGTTTTCATTAAGGCTATCTCTATATTTTTGTGCATTTTTTTTGCTCTGATATGCATTATCAGCTGTTAGACCTTTTATTAAGACGTGTGTGCCTTTCAAAATCATACCCATTCAATTGAATTTGCCACAGGTTGTGATATGAATGCTCCTGAACTAATTTTCAACTGTTCCAAATAATGCAATGGAAACTTGGAATTTGCAAAGATGTTAAAAAAAATGTTTGTTTTTTTTGGTTTGTTTTATTTGCTTTCCCATTATGGTGTATGGAGTGTAGGTTGATGTGGAAAAAAAGTAATTTAAAGCAGTTTAACATAAAGCAGCAACGTAAAATGTGAAAAAAATGAAGGGGTATGAATACTTTCGCAAGGCGCTGTATTATAGGCTGTTGGTGTCTGGGCTTATTTATTTTTTAAATGACATGAGACTTTGTGGCTTCCTGCACTTGCTATACTTTATACTTCAGTACAGTAAAAGTGCTCAAATTTGTTACAATAGTAATTTTATAACAAATCCAAAAGCAAGACTTGGGGGAAAAAAAATAAAAAATAAAATATATATATATATATATATATTTAAGTAGGTACAAACAGACAGACACACACACACACACACAGAGAGATCTGTGAGTGAAGATAGGTATTTTGGTAATTCACTCACATTTATCAGGAGTCGTAAGATGCATGTTAATTTTATTGAAGACAAAAAAAATAATTTTACAGTAACAGTGAATGTGAAAATAATATTCTACTATTAAGGCACAAAATTATTTGCTATTCTATCATATTAATTTAACAAAATTGTGATTTCCTTCATTTTTGTCAGAAAATGTGTAAATATTTTTATTAGACTAGACTTATGTTTTAAATAAGTTCACAGATCTTTTATACAATCATTACAAATTAAATTAAACATAACTTCAGAACAAATACGATTATAAAGACACAAGAGAGACACAAAAATCAACTAATATTAAGTACTGATATCAATCTAATATTGCTATGATTCATTTCTGATGTTACATTATTGATCCAATGGAGCACTTGTGTTACTCTAACTGATTTCTGATGATAATTTCATAGATTTTTGATTATGGATATTGTATCATGTGAAGATCAGAAGCCACACACAGGACACGACGAGCCACAGGCCTGGACCGAGACGAAGAGTTGATGCAGACCCTGAAACATACACACACACACATCATTAGCGCTCGACTGATCACACACGGGTCTGATGATGAATCTCAGTGGATCAGAGAGAGTGGGTGTGGCTTTACCCTGTACAGTGACAGTCGCTGCAGCTGATTGGCTGGGAGCCGTTGACTGCGTGCCGCTGCCCGTGACGCTGCTGTTAGCGGGGCTGTTGTTGTTTTGGACGGTGGCGGGTGCAGATGTGCTGGGATCGGCTCGGCCTCCATGCAGACCCACGTTTAGCGTGTCTAACTGAGACTGCGGCTGTGAGGAGATCCAGGCCTGAACCACAGAGTCCTTCTCAAATACCTTCAGATCGGCCACGGCTGAACCCATGAGAGCGCGCACATCAGACACGCTCAGACCCTGAAACACACGCGGCATACAGTCACACTCACATTCACACTGAGAGGAACGTGTGTGTGTGTGTGTGTGTGTGTATGAGAGAGAGGGAGAGGGAGATGTGCCTTGCATTATTTGCTATTTAAATAACTGATTATTAAATAGAAATAAGATTATACTGTTGGTTTTGGTGATTTAACCAGATGTCCTCAGTATAGATTTTTTGAAACAATGATTATGAGGAAAGAAAATATGTGTACGAAAGCATGAAATCAGGTTTTGAAAGAATGACTAGCTGTGTTACAAGTGTAAGATTTGAAGAACCTCAGACACTTTGATCTTTTGAAATATGGACAATATACACCAGAGTTCCTCAATAGGTGGTTTGGCCCGCGCTAATTTAAAATAATGTGGCATGAAAATTCAAACGCAGCATCAAAAAGCTACTTTAACTTACATCGTGTATACACCGGACACAAGCGGTGCGATGCAACGCAATAAAATACAATAGCCTAGAACTTGTTATAATCAGTGATGCTGTCTTGGATGCGG